AATTATTGATAGATGTGAGTTTATTGCTGTCATTTTGTAGTGCTTTTTTTGTGGTGCTAATGTTTTCTTTGTTCCTCTTACTCTGCTGTGCTGAATTCCTTTTATTTGTAGATTTTCTTTGCATTTCTTTTGTTTTTGTAGATTTTGTTTTTACTGAGACTTCATGTTTTTCTTCTTTTTTTTGATGAGTAGGTTTGTTAACTTTCTGTGTGATTACCTTGACATTTACCCTTATCTTCCTGGGTTTGAACCAGTCTGTTGTTACTTGGTATTGCCTTGCCTTCCTCTCCATTAGAAATTTCTGTACCTACGTTCTTTATTCCCTCTTTTAGTGTTCTGATGTTATTGTCATTTACAGATTAACCTCTGTGGTTCCCTGTTATAATTCTTTTGGTTTTGGATAGTCCTTGAGAGTTCATTTCCTAGGTTGGTATCTGGCTGGTACAATCTTGTATCCTAGATTCAGCCTGTAGTCTGATGTTGTTTGTTCTCAGATCAAAGTACTCCCTTTCATAATTCTTGTAATTTTGCTTTGGTTTTCACATAGTCCCTTAATTTCTGTTTATCTGGAAATGTCCTAATTTCGCTATCATATTTGAAAGAGAGTTTTGCAGGGTATATTATTCTTGGCTGGCAATTTTTTTCTTTCGAAGTTTTATATATGTCATCCCATTGCCTTCTTGCCTGCATAGTCTCTGCCGAATAATCCAAGCTTAGTCTACCGTTTCTCCTCTGTATGTGACTTTTTGTTTTTCTCAAGCTGCTCTCAGGGTTCTTTGTTTGTCTCTGGTTTTAGCGAGTGTGATTATTATATGCCTTAGTGATTTTCTTTTGGGGTCTATCCTATGTGGTGTTCATTGAGCTTCTTGGATGGTCAGCTTTTCATCTTTCATGATACTGGGGAAGTTTTCTGTGAGCAGTTCTTCAATGTTCTTCTCTGTCTTTTCTGTTTTCTCCCCCTATTCTGGAACTCTGATCACTTGCAAATTTTTGCTTTTGATTGTATCCCACATAATTCTCAGAGTTTCTTCATTTTTCTTCATTCTTTTTTCTGGGTTTTCCTCAACCAGAGTTATATCCAAGTATTTTTCTTCAATTTCGCTGATCCTGTCTTCCATCGTTTCAAACCTGCTCCTCAGCCCTTGTATGACACTGACCATTCTGAAATCTTGTTGTTTATCTTTTGGATTTCTGATTGTTGTTTTTGTATGATTTCTAGTTGTGAATTTATTTTGGTATTTTGTTCCTGTATTATTTTCCTGAATTCTTCCATTTTTTTTGTCTGTAGTTTGCATGAATTTGTCTGCTTTTTCTATGAAATTGTCTATTTTTTCTTCATTTTTGTCTGCTTTTTGCTTCAACTCTTGGATAGCTCTGAATATAGAGATTTGAATTCCCTAGTGCCTTTTCTTCTACTGGAAAGTCATCTGGTGTTTTATTTTGGATGCCTACTGGAACTATCTTGTCCTTTTTTTTTTTATGTTTTGATATTGTCTGCTGTCTTTGGGACATTCAGTAGTTATTTTTCTCAGTTATGAATTGTAGATTAGTTTGTTTTGTCCTACTTTTTTGTTTTATTTGGGTACGTCTGAGCAGGCATGCTGTGTATTCTTTGTTGTTTGCTAGTGTGTGGGCACAATAGTTTTCACCTCCTTGTCCAATGGGCATGGCCAGTCGCTCAGCTATGGTGCAGCAGGGCAGGTCCAGCTGAAAGGGTGTTGCTGGGATGGGGTGAGTTGTTTGTGTCACGTATTAGGGCTGACAGGGTTGGTCAAGAATCAGTGCAGGACAGGTTCTGGTAGGCCATGCCTGTGCTGCTCAGGGGTGTGATGTGCAATGCACAGTACAGGTAGGCAGGAAGGATGGGGGAGAGTGTGATGTGTGGCATTAAGATGGGTATGGGAAAGAGAAGCGGAGAAACAAGAGCCAAAAACTAACAACCAAAAAAAAAAAAAGGAGTGCTAAGGGAGCTTGCTGTTGGAATGGCAAGATGAGAAACCAAGTAATGGAGAAAAACAAAAAGAAAAAAATAAATAAAAATTAGAAAAGAAAAGCTCCCAGGGATCCCACCAGTGCAGCTGCAAAGACTAAGGAAGTGGCTCCCAGGCCAAGAAGTATATAGCCTGGCTAGAAGGAGTAGAGATGTCACACAGTCCAAGTATTCAGGAGACAGGAAGAGAAAGTAAGTATAGAAAGGAGAAACTGAGAAATGAAGAAAGACAAAAAGGAAAAAAGAGATAAAAGAAGAAAACAAAAAAGACAAAAGAAATGCCCCCAGGGATCCCACCGCACGGCTGTGCAGAGTGGGGAAGTAGTTCCCAAGCCGTGCAGTACAGTCCAGCTAGAAGGGTCTCCCAAGCTGAGAAAAGAAAAACAAAACAAACAAACAAACAGAACAAATCAAAATAAACAAAAAAGCCTTGGGGATCTCACCAGAGTGGTGGCATGGGCTGGTAAGCAGTTCCACAGTTGAGCAGCGTTTCACTGCCTTTCAAGAAGAAGCAAAGTTGGCACATGGAACCAGGTATTTGAGAGAAAGAACAGGGAGGTGGTGAGAGGTATGGAAGAAATCAAAACAAGTGGGAAAAAGCAACACCAGCAACAAACAAATGGCACACAGGGAGTCGGCCAGTGTTGGGGGTGGAACCCAAGTGGCACAGGGCTGAAGCTGGTGCCTCCCAGCCAAGAGACTGTGGCCACAGGAAGCAGAGGAAGCCTAGTGGGGGTGAAGAAGAGTTGGGGGTGGGAAAGTGTATATCTCCTGCTGGGAGATCCATGAAGCTGCTTTCCCGTACTCCCTGTTTGCTGATCTCTGACAAGAGTCCAAGTTGGTGAATCCGTGCTACGTTAGCTGATAGGGGACCTCTGCATGTATCTCTTCTCACTTTCTATTCTCTGTCAGTTTCTTATTCCATTCGGTACTTGACTGAGTTCTTTATCTCCTCATTTGATGCTTAGGGTTCCAGGATTGACGTTTGTCTCTGTTTGACTTAGTTTTTCAGGTCTTTGCTGTGGAGGGACGGCGTGGTGCTTCTGTCTATAGTGCCATGTTGCCCGGAAATCCTAATTCCTTCTGTGTCTAACAGTTGCTTTAATGTCTTTGTATGCAAATCTAGCATATCAGTTATTTGTGAGTTGCTTCTAATATCTGGGTTTTTTTCCCCCCTCTTGATTATTGGTCACATTTTCCTGTCTTTTCACATATCTCAAAATGCTATTTGATGGAAATTGTGTATAAAAGAACTATAAAGTTAATGCTTCTCTCCACACCCCCCAAGAACATTCACTCTTTATCTTTTATATAGAAAAGGAATTAATCTCTACAGGAGTTAAGATGGGTCAGAGCTGGGCTATAACTTGACTCTAACTCAGTCCACTCCAGCTGCAAAGGACTCAAGAGGAGTCCTGTCATGAATCTGTTTCAGGCTTCTTCCTCTAATGAGAGATGATCTCTTAAGAACTGTGAGATAAGGGAATTTTACTCTGTCTTTTCATCTTAGCCTTCTGTTCTGCCCCAACTCTCAGCAGATGACCTATGGGGGAAACAAGCCATGAATTTGAGAATTCTTCTAGATTTCCATCTCTCATGTCAGCTCAATGCAGCTGTCGAAGCTCTGCTGATTTATCTTTCCCCTAGTAAAGTCCCTCTTCCTATATTGTGCCTGACTCACAGTCTGTAAAGAGACTTACCAAATCCTTCCAGGGAAGAACATGGCCAGTGACATCAGCTTACCTTGGAAAGCTTTTTTAAAAATATCTCTTTGTAATTTTGGTTCATTTATTCCTCTGTGCTTCCATAGCTTTCCACTATTATTAAAATTATGATATTTGCAATTTATTCTTTTTTTTCTAGTTGTTACAGCATGAGTAATGGCTTGTCACTACATACTGAATCTTGCTCAGCATTGGGAAACACTTGTCCTTGTTTTCTACGATTTTTCTATCTCTGAAGATCTTTCACTTGCAGTTCTCTTGATAAGGGAGAACTCATCTCTTAAAACTTCTTTCTCATCTTCTAAGCATCCAGAGGTTTATCTCCACCTTCCTTCTTCTAAGATATCTTTGTCCCAACTGGTGACCCTCTTGGAAAAGATGATAAGAGTAATTGTAATATCTACCATTTATTGAGAGTTTCTATGTGCCAGGTCACTATTATGTTATGTGCTTTTCTTGTATTGACTTATTTAATTCTCACAATGCCTGAGAGGTAGTTTGCTATTATTTTCCTCATTTTACAGATGTGGCACAGAGAGATTAAAGAATTTACCCAAGATCACACAGCTGATAAGTAGCAGGTATTAATTAAAAATTTAGAAAATCTGAATCTAGAATTCATGCCTTAACCAGAAGATCCAAGACAACCCATTTCTAGCGCTCTCTCTCTTGCTCTGTCATGTATCACCCACCTCTGGTCCATGAACTCTTCATGTGGAGCACATTTTCAAATAATAGTTGTTTTTCTGCTACTACAGGTTTACGCCAGACACTAAATAACTGTGACTCTAAAGTTCCAGAGTACTCATCATCCATCAAGCTCTTCAAGTGGTCCCGCTGAAGCCAATTTTGGGAGGAGCTTCAAAGGAGGGGAAGACACCCCCAGTCCTTCCCATGGGATGTGTAACTCACAGCAAATACTATGTTCTCTATTCTTCAATTCTTTCCTTGATCTTTTTGAAATCTTTTATAAGCTACATGAAGTAATAAGTGCAAGGCACAGTTTTAAACTATCCTTTTGTAAGTCCTACATTTTGAAATGTGGAATTTGTTATTTGGAATTTCAGAGTAAACTGGGATTAAAATAGTACAATGTTAACATGCCATTTCATATCAAATAGAAGTTCTTCTAAAATATTTGGTTCCCAGCTTTGTGAGTGCCCTAATATATACTACTCTACTATTTGTACCTGACACTCTTAATACATGAACAACAGCTTTGTTAGAATCTGAAGATTTCACCTTTATTTATGATACCTCTGTTCTTTCTCTACAGAAGAAAAAGGATGCAGGACTTCCCCTGGGGAAACCACAGCTCTCTTATGGAGTTTATTCTTCTAGGATTCTCTAGCAATACTGAGTCAAATGTTATTCTCTTCAGTATCTTCCCCTTCTTCTACCTCATCGCCCTTCCGGGCAATGGGCTTATTATCACCCTGATACATATGGACTCTCAACTCCACACACCATGTACTTTTTCCTCAGCGTCCTTTCTGTTCTGGACATGGGATATGTCACCACCACAGTGCCCCAGATGCTGGTGCATATGGTTTGCCAGAAGAAGACAATCTATATTGGATGTGTAGCTCAGATGTACATCTTCCTACTGCTGGGCATCACTGAGTCTTGGCTTTTTGCAATCATGGCTTATGACAGGTATGTGGCCATTTGCCATCCTCTCAGGTATAAGGTCATTATGTGTGGGTCAATGGTAGCCTTCTGTGGATTCTGGGGTATTAGCTGTGCCCTGATAAACACAGTCTCTGCTATGATTCTTCCCTATTGTGGTCCCAATGAAATAAATCACTTCTTCTGTGAAGTGCCTGCTGTCTTGAAGTTGGCCTGTGCAGATACATCTCTCAATGACAGAGTGGATTTCATCCTGAGCTTTATCCTTCTGCAGGTCCCACTCTCCCTTATCATTATTGCCTACATCAACATCTTTGCTGCCATCTTGAGGATCCACTCAGCCCAGGGGCGGCTCAAGGCCTACTCCACCGGTGCCTCCCACATCACTGTGGTCACTATGTTCTCCATACCATGCATGGTTATGTACATGAGACCTGGCTCTGAGGCCTCCCCAGTAGAGGAAAAGAAGCTGGATTTATTTTATAATGTGATCTCTGCCTTTCTCAACTCCATCATCTACAGCCTCAGGAACAAAGATGTGAAACGGGCTTTCCTCAAAGTGACAGAGTGGGGAAAAGTGCCAGAATGAAGTCATGGGAACACGGGCAGCAGCAACCAAACTTGGAACACAGCCTACATAACCTCTCCATCCAAAATGCTTCCAATACCTAATGGACACTCATGAAAGATTAATGGATACCTTAAATAAGATTATATATGGGAGCATGTGGAAGGCTATGGCAGTGAGTGCCCCTCAAGCATGGAGGCATCAGACTGTGGACTCCATGAAGGCAGAGCCCATATCTGATGTCTCTATATCACCAGTTTATGAGACCTGGCAAAATCTTGGCATCAATTAAGTCATCTGTTTAATTAATAAATGAACGTGTAACTAAGTGTTTTCATGAACTTTGGACTTAGGAAATAAGTTCAAATTGGTGGGCACTAGATGGCTCCCAGATTTCCTATTAGTGACCTGACTAAAGCTCAATCAGGGCTTTGACAAGGTCTAAAGAAAGAACAATTCAAGATAATTCAATGATGATCATAGAAAATAGAGTGAAGGGAAGTAATATATGTCAGTTTTAATCCAGTATTGTTAGGAGCATATAGATCTGGGCCCTCATGTCACTGAAGAGAGGAGCTCTGTTTTAGGAAAGTGATGTTTGTAAGGGGAGTAGAATCTCCCAGTACTTGCATGAAAATCTCCCACCCACACCCTTTTCATAATGCATTTTCAACTTTATTGAAGTACATTGACACAATGAAATATAGATATTTAAAGTGTACAATTTGATGAGTTATTTTATATATATATATATACCTGTGAAATCATCACCATAATCAAGATCATTATATTCATCACCTCCCCAAATTTCCTTGTGACCATTTGCAATCTGTCTGTATTAGTTATCTATTGCTGTGTAACAGATTACTGTAAAATTTAGTGGGTTAAAACAACAAATATTTCTTTTTTTCACAGTTTCTGTGGGTCAAGAATCTGGACAAAGCTAAACTGTGTCCTCTGGCTTAGGGGTCCTCACAAGGCTGCAATCACGGTATTAGTTAGGGCTACAGCTATCCAAAGGCTCAACTGGAGAAGGAACTGTTCCAAGCTCACTTGGTTGTTTCCAGGATTTAGTTCTTGGTAGGCTGTTGGACAAAGGGCCTCATTTCCTTCCTGACTGTTATCCAGAGCATCCCTCAGTTCCTTGCTATGTAGACCTCTCCATAGAGCAGCTCACTTTATGGCAGCTGGCTACATCAGAGTGAGGAAGCAAGTACTGGTGTCACTAGGGAAAGAGGTTGAATGAAATCATCTTGTCCACCTGACCATTGCAAGGTATCCCACAGTGGATCCTCACTTATATGCATTTATATAGGATGTGATTATCTTCACATTCTATGTCTGTTCCATGAGAGGTACATTCACATACCTTCTTCTAGATCCCCTGTCACTAATCTTTCAATTTTTTGCTTTCCGAGTCCCTGATCAGCCTTCCAACCCATTAGCAACTGCCCATGAATTAGTGTATGTCTACACTTCAGGCCGTCTCTCATTCCATACGACATGGACAGCCATATATACCATTCAAAGTTCTACCCACAGGAAGAATTTTCTTTCACCACACTCAGTGCCACCTTGTGTGGGGATAGTGTCAGCACACTGTGCAGATCCTTTGTAAACTAAGCCATTGTTAACTAGTTAGAGGCAATTCTTCATGTGGGTTGAGAAGAGGCAGTAAAATATTAGGAGCAAAAACTATGGGAGTCTTAGCCACTGATTATGAAGTCTATGACCTAGACCTGAACTCATACGTACTTTTCATTTTATCATGGAACTCTTCTGTGCATGTTCAATTTTATGGTTCAGTGGATAGGATAACATAGTTTATGATGGAAAGTTTTATTTGCTTTGTCACATGGTGAGATACATGCAAGGTGGTACTCTGGCTCACGTGGGCTTGTTTTAATTTTCTTCAGCTTCAACTTGAACTTACGTATGAGCAATTGATGGTCTGTTCCACAGTCAGCCCCTGGCCTTGTTTTTACTAATGATATTGAGCTCCTCCATTGTCTCTTTCCACAGATGTAGTTAATTTGATTCCTGTGTATTACGTCTGGTGAGGTTCACGTGTATAGTCACCATTTAATGATGACAAAAGGCATTTGCAATAAATAAGTTGTTGGTGTTGCAAAATTCTATCATGTGATCTCCAGCATCATTTCTATCACCAAGGCCATATTGGTGCATAAATTTGAATAATAGTCATATTAACTGGTCTTCCTTGTAGGCACATGGATATTATCCTATCACTGACAGTGCTGTGCTTCAGGATAGATCCTGAAATGTTCTTTTTGATGATGAATGTGACGCCATTCCCCTTCAGTTTGTCATTCCTGACATAGTAGACCGTATGATTGTCTGATTCAAAATGGCCAATACCAGTCCATTTCAGCTAACTAATGCCTAGGATATTGATATTTATGCATTCCATTTAATTTTGGAAGACTTATTTTCCTTGATTCATACTTTGTACATTCCACGTTCCGATTACTAATGGATGTTTGCAGCTGTTTTTTCTCATCTTAAGTCATGCCACATCAGCAAATGAAAGTTCCAAAAGCTTTACTCTATCAATGTCATAAAGTTCGAAACTACTTTGAGGAGCAGCTCTTCCCCAGTAGTATTTTGAGTGACTTCCAAACTGGGGGATCCATCTTCTAGCACTATATCAGACAGTATTCCACTGCTATCTGTAAGATTTTCACTGGCCAGGTCCTTCTTCCCATTCTACCTTTGTCTGGAAGCTCCACTGAAATCTATCCACCATGGGTGATCTTGCTGGTATTTGAAATATCAGTGGCATAGCTGCCAGCATCACAGCAACATGCAAGCCACCACAGTAAAGACAAATGACAGATGAGCTGTGGGATGACATCAAGGATATCATACATAAAGAAAGCAAAAGGTCATTAAAAAGACAGGAAAGAAAGAAAAGACCAAAATAGAGGTCAGAAGAGACTCTGAAACTTGCTCTTGAAAGTAGAGTAGCTAAAGTGAATGGAAGAAATGATGAAGTACAAGAGCTAAACAGATTTCAAAGAGTGGCTCAAGAAGACAAAGTAAAGTATTATAATGAAACGTGCAAAAACCTGGAGTCAGAAAACACTTGGCATTTCTCAAGCTGAAAGAACTGAAGAAAAAATTCAAGCCTCAGGTTGCAATACTGAAGGATTCTATGGGCAAAATCCCTCGTGTGTGTCAGTTAATCATACTGTGGGGGCTTGTGTGTTGCTGTGATGCTGCAAGTTATGCCACTGGTATTCAAATACCAGCAGGGTCACACATGGGGGACAAGTTTCAGCTGAGATTCCAGGCTAAGACAGACTAGGAAGTAGGACCCAGTGATTTACTTCTGAAAAGAATTAGTCAGTAAAACCTTATGAATAGCAACGGAACATTGTCTGATATAGTGCCAGAAGATGAGCCCCTCAGGTTGGAAGACAGTCAAAAGACAACTGGGGAAGAGCTGCTTCCTCAAAGTAGAGCCGATCTTAATAATATAGATAGAGTCAAGCTTTCAGGACCTTTGTTTGCTAATGAGGCACTGCTCAAAATGAGAAGAAACAGCTACAAACATCCATTAATAATTGGAATGTGGAATTATGAAGTATGATTCTAGGAAAACTGGAAATCATCAAAAATGAAATGGAACACATAAAGATTGATATCCTAGGCATTGGTGAGCTGAAATGGAGTGGTATTGGCCATGTTGAATCGGACAATCATATGGTCTTCCATGCCGGGATTGGCAACTTGAAGAGGAACGGTGTTGCATTCATCATCAAAAAGAACATTTCAAGATCTATCCTGAACTACAATGATGTCAGTGATAGGATAATATCCATATGCCTACAAGGAAGACCAGTGAATGTAACTATTACTCAGATTTATGCAACAACCACTAAGGCTAAAGATGAAGAAATTGAAGATTTTTACCAAGTTCTGCAGTCTGAAATTGACTGAACATGCAATCAGGATGCATTGATAATTACTGGTGATTGGAATGTGAAAGTTGGAAATAGAGAAGAAGGACTGGTAGTTGGAAAATATGGCCTAGGTGATAGAAATGATGCCAGAGATCACAAGACAGAATTTTGCAAGACCAACGACTTTTTCGTTTTAAGTACCCCTTTTCAACAACATGAACAGTGACTATACATGTGGACCTTGCCAGATGGGACACACAGGAATCAAATCGACTACATCTGTGGAAAGAGATGATGGAAAAAGCTCAATATCATCAGTCAGAACGAGGCCATGGGCCGACTGCAGAACAGACCATCAATTGCTCATATGCAAGTTCAAGTTGAAGTTGAAGAAAATTAGAACAAGTCCACGAGAGCCATAGTATGACCTTGTGTATATCCCACCTGAATTTCGAGATCATCTCAATAGATTTGACACATTGAACACTAATGACTGAAGACCAGACAAGTTGTGGAAGGACATCATACCTGAAGAAAGCAAGAGGTCATTAAAGAGACAGGAAAGAAAGAAAAGACCAAAATGGATGTCAGAAGAGACTCTGAAACTTGCTCTTGAATGTCAAGTAGCTAAAGCAAAAGGAAGAAAAGATGAACTAAAAGAGCTGAACAGAAGATTTCAAAGGGCAGCTTGAGAAGACAAAGCAAAGTATTAAAATGACATGTGCAAAGACCTGGAGAAAGAAAACCAAAAGGGAAGAACCTACTTGGCATTTCTCAAGCTGAAAGAACTGAAGAAAAAATTCAATCCTCGAGTTGCAATATTGAAGGATTCTACAGGGAAAATAATAAACGACGCAGGAAGCATTAAAAGAAGGTGGAAAGAATACACAGAGTCACTATTCCAAAAAGAATTGGTTGAAGTTCAACCATTTCAGGAGGTAGCATATTATCAGGAACCTATGGTACTGAAGGAAGAGGTCCAAGCTGCACTGATGGCATTGCTGAAAAACAAGTCTCCAGGAATTGACAGAATACCAATTGAGATATTTCAACAAATGGGTGCAGGCTGGAAGTACTCACTCATCTATGCCAAGAAATTTGGAAGACAGC